AAAAAAAAAAAATTTAGAAAATGGATAGGTGGTAATCGGATTAGCTGTTTGAATCTTGTGGGCATTAGCTGTTTGAATATGTGTATATGATTGGTAATCCGATTTGATATTGAAATTAGAGTTATCTCTATATTACTTTTTAACAGTGACGTTATTATACCGTAGAATACATTATATAAACCAATATAGTTAATACATGTACTTGTTATATTGTGTGTTAGTTAATATTATATTTCTCTATATTATATTAGTGATGCACGTTTTATTGATACACATTTTAGATGCATGTAATATATCAGTGATGTTAGTGATGCAGTAAATGAGTTATCATTAATATACGTGAAAAAGACATGTTAGTGATGCATGTAATTTTTGGTTGATTAAATAACTCATTAATATAACTGAAAAAGACAAGCATTTAAATAGGATGTTTAATTAATATAACTGAAAAAGACAAGCATTTAAATAGGAAGTTTAATTAAATTCTCAGTGGCATATGAGTGTAAATAAGTTGGAAAACTTAGGGGTATTTTTTAGTGGATACTTCTCTTTTAATAATAGAGATTTATTAGTTTTATAGAATATTCTATTTTATTGGTTAAAAAATGGTTAGGTGTATATGTAATTGTGTTTTTATCTTGAAAATATGCAAAATTAAATATTTCTTTAATCTGTGTGCAAAAACCTAGAATTACAACTAAAGTGAAACAGATGAAATATAATATAACCAACTACACGTTTTTGAAAAAAACTAAAGTATATTTTGATATATATTTTATATTGTGAAATATTTTTCTTTAAAATACATTTTACATATTGAGGGATAATTGTTTTTTTTTTGTCAAAGAGGGATAATTGTTTAGCCAACATAAGCCATTGGTTTCCCTTAATTTATGTTTTGGGAATCTAAATTTTATAAACTTCAACTGAACCCCTAGATTTAGCATGTTTCCAAACGTAGCCCTTAAATTTCGCTTATTTTCTTTTGTGAATATCAAATGTTATGACTTGCGCAATTTTACCCCAACAGAACCAAAATTCCCGCCATAATAAATAACGAATTGTTGTATATAAAACAGGCAATGCAGTGGTTAACGGAGATTTCGAAGAAGGTCCGTGGATGTTCAGAAACACAACCTTAGGTGTTCTCCTCCCCACAAACCTCGACGAAGAAACATCCTCCCTTCCCGGTTGGACCGTAGAATCGAACCGGGCAGTCCGGTTCATCGACTCAGACCACTTCTCAGTCCCTGAAGGAAAGCGTGCTTTGGAGCTTCTATCAGGCAAAGAAGGCATAATCTCTCAAATGGTTGAGACAAAAGCCAACGTTCCGTACAAGATGTCTTTCTCCTTAGGTCACGCAGGCGACAAGTGCAAGGAGCCTTTGGCTGTAATGGCCTTTGCCGGCGATCAAGCTGATAACTTCCACTACATGGCGCAAGCGAACTCGAGTTTTCAAGTGTTAGAGTTGAACTTCACGGCGAAGGCGGACCGTACGAGGATTGCGTTCTATAGTGTTTATTATAATACTAGGACGGATGATATGAGCTCCTTGTGTGGGCCTGTGATTGATGACGTCAAGGTTTGGTTCTCTGGGTCTAGTAGAATTGGTTTTGGGTTTCCGGTTTTGGTTCTTGTTCTCGCGTTGGTTTTTATCTAGATATGGCTCCGGTTTAGATTTCCCTGGATGTTCAGAATATGTATTGGTGGACCGGGAAATTTATACGCTTTGTTCAAAATGTTGTATGGTTATGTATCAGCTCAAGCTGAAATGAAAAGCCTTTTATGTTTTGATGTAATTCGTGGTCCAATGCAAGACGTTTTGATTAATCACACACTTGATCAAGACTCAGAGTCTTAGAGCACATTATTGCAGGTTTCTTAGGACGGGTTTCTTAGGGAAATATAAGAAACTGTTTCTTCACTTTTAACTGAAAAGTTAAGAAACTGTTTCTAAGTAATACTTTCATAAACAGTTTCTTAGCTTTTCAGTTAAAAATTAAAAAAACAGTTTCTTATATTTCTTTAAGAAACTCGTCCTTAGAGTTTGTAACTTCTTTTACTTGGAAAGAGCTAATGCAACTCATATTCTGTTTCTTTTGGTTTTGTTTTCCTTTGTGATAAGGTTCTTTGGATTTTAAAGTTGCCTATTTGGGCTACGAGTTTCCTGATCCTTATAGATTGAAACGTTGGTACTTTTTGTTTTATAAGAGAGAAATTTTGAAAGGATTTTTGAGAATAGTAAATATATTTTCGCTCCTCTCACGAATTTTTCTAACAAGAATCAACAGCTACTTAATTTCTTGTCTCTTGACAGTCCATCACGATCATATCCATCATAAAGCGTCGTTTTTGTGTGTTTGAAATTGTTGATCAGCTTGCATGTTATATTTTGAATTCTTATTGATTGGTATGTGCTTAATTTTTGTCGTCATACAATATTTTTGTTTGAGGTAAGATTAATGGAAGTATCCAATGAGTGACCACCCTTATCTAAACAAATCTCAAAACTCACAAAGAAAATCGCGTAGAAACTTCGAAAGTCGTCGAATCTGAAAAATGTAAAGTTCTTTTCAAACCTGAAACCATAACTGAGCTAATAACGTTCACTGACTACTACTAAATTTTATAATACCAAATAATTAGGTGAAGAAGTTACTCCAATATAGGAATTAGTGTTTTGCTGAATTTTGGTCACATTCCAAGTGAATTTTCAAAGTTGAAAGGCAGTTATGTATCGTTAAGAAGATTAAATTAGAAAAGTTAATATGCCAAAATGTTTTAACTAGAAGAAAATTCGTAGCGTGGTTCTCTATTGACGAAGTTGTAATTTGCTTTAGATACGTCAACCCTGAGCCAACTGGTCAAAAGAATAATTGAACATTTTACAGTTATTTTAATAAAAAGATATGAGTTTGTAATCGAAGGGTTATCGAAATCTAGTAAGCGACTCGCGTTATTACTATGAAAGTGACTTAAAAATTGGTCCAGAACGTTGATTCTTGTAGTATATCTTTTTTTTTTTTGGGGGGGGGGGACAAATTCTTGTAGAATACTTGATCAAGAAAATGAATCTTCATAAACCCGGTAGGATTCTTCAATATGTTGATTCTCAACCATAAGATGGTGGTTTATTGAAAGGTCGGTTGTGGATCGATTAAATAAATGACTAGTTTTTATCTTTATATAGCGTTATTTATTGCTCACATACAGTAGTTAGTTGAGAATTGAGACTGAAGATTATACGCAACTACTATTTTTTTTATGAACTAAACTTAATTGTTATATAAAAATTGCCATTTTGAAATCATACACATTGTATTGTATATAGCTATGCAATACTTTTATATATAGTGAGATTGAAGATTCTACGCAATTATTTTTTTCTTTTATGAATACGTAACTAAATTTAATAATTGATATAGTAATGTAATCTTTTTTTTAACAACAATAATAATTTAATCTATCGTATTCAAATAGTAAAAGTGGTCGCCAACTAGTTGTGCTTATCTTTTCCCTTCCGTTTTCTATATAATATTAGTTTGTATATTAACAGATTTTAATGAACTTTAAAATGATGATTGAATAACACAAGTTTTAAAATTCATAAACATAAGTTAAAAATTTATGTCCAGTAACACTAAATTCTCATGTATAACTTGATAGAATATCCCATATATGTTTTATTTGATTTGGTTGAAATAAATAACTTCCCACTCGACCGAGTTGCGCTGCACGTAATTGAAATGTCACTATACATCATAAGTCATAACCTTACAAAATTGTGCTCGACACATGCAATGTTTTTTTTTTAATTATGACTTTGGAATGAACCACGCTTACAGTTCACAAGATCATATTGATGAACATTGCATATCTATTACGGATATGCCTAAATATATGTTTTTCTCAAATTAATTACATGAATATAACCAATTTAAGCATGCTTATATCAACAATCTGTATTGCTACCATTCAGACAAAACTTGAGAACACACACAGGTTGTAAAACTCTTGGATAAAATCAAATATTATTTTACAAAAAAAAAGGTCGTAAGGCGTTTAGTTAAGAGTTAAGACTGAAAGTTCAGAGACACGCAAATAAGAACCGTACACAAGTTATTCAAGAACACTTCTTGTATATTAGAAACCTTTTAAACAATCTTCCTAGATCTGTTTAATCCGATTTAAGCTCAGTCACACACGACTAGCTACGGACCAGTTCCTAATCTCTAAGTTACAGAAACCCAAGCCAAAACCCTGTTTTCTTGATCTCTGTAGCCGACAAGAACAACTCTCTTGCTCTAGCTTTTTCTCTCTTAACGCTTAACCTAAAACCCTCTTAGGTTGCCTCGTTAAGTAGGCATGAAAAAGACAATATTCTATTTCCTAAAATATCGCCAACCAGAAGATCTTCTTTGCTTCGCACCCAAGCAATATCTTCTATTTCCATAAGTTTACGCCACGTCATTACACGTACCAAACTTATTAACCATCGCACTGTGTAACACACTCTCATCTTAACCGGAACACGCTCACAAACCTTGAGCTTACATTCTCCCCCTTTTTATCTGAATGTGACAACCTACTCAACCTGTTCCAACAAAGCTCAAAATGCAGGACAACACTCTATATCAATCTATCAGTTAGTCTCCTATAAAGTCGAGAATATGAGGAACCCGAAACAAAGCACATTGATAAATCCAAGAGCACCAGAGTGCACAAATAAACT